AAACAAAAAAAACCCCAAACAACAACAACAACAACAAAAAAGTGACATAGGTTAGTGGTTATATTAGTACAAGACATGAAAAATAGCATAGCACTAGATATAAAGTAAACATTCAAAAATTTTAACAACTATTGCAATGACTACTAATACCACCATTACTATCACTGTAACTATTATTATATGTGCAGAACTGCCTTTGAAATAATAGTTCATTTTATTTTATTTATATATATAAGGTCTTAATTTGGTTTCAGATTTCTTTAGTCCGGTCCAGAGAGTAAATAAGGATTTTTTTTTCCCTAAAAGCAAGAAATTATAAAATTAATTATGTATGCAACACATTACCTTACATGTTGTGATAGTCAATTTTCATAGCAGAATTTGTACAAAATTGGAATCTGAAAACCTGCATTTGAGTGTGGGCTCTGTCACTAGCGCTAACCAAGGAAAAGTTGCTTAAAGACCATGAGCCTTAGTTTCCTTATCCACAAAATAGGGCCAGCCTGTAGCAACAGTAACAGCTAACTTTCAGAGTACAATGCTTCTTCCTTGCCAGGGACTTCTCCAAGCATTTTACAGACATTAACTCAGCTACTAATCCTTCATCTAATGTCTAGCATTAACTTAGTGAAAGGGAGATTGTGTTGGTCAGTCTCCATTTGGCCTCCACCACTTGCCCTGCTCTGCCAGGAAGCTGACCCTGTAGATCAGTCACTGGGGCTCCACTGACACCAGATTTTTCAGTTCAGACAGGGGGAGGCATCAGGAAGTGATGAGAGGCTGGGAGGAGAGAAAGGCTGGGGTATTTCTTCTCCATCTCCTTCTTGATTAAGCAACCCTGTTCTAATTTGTGTATGTTGTGGTGTATGGGGGTGGGGTGGGGATGGGGTGTTCCCCAAGACTAAATCTCCTGTCTTTTCCATGGCTTTTCTCACTGGGTTCAGTAAAGGCCATGTTCTTCTTCAGCCTCTTAGACCCCTTGGTAATGACTTTCTGCTGTTGCCTGTCTTCCCCAACATCACTCTTTTGTTTCCTTAAATCCCTTCCCACATCACCGCAAGGAATTCCTTCATTAAAGTGTCTTGATTTGAAACCTATGAGTGGAATGTTTTTTCTTGCTGGGACCCAGACTCTTAGAGGGATTTACTATTTTAGCATTTCAGTCAACTACTTGTTACTTAGTACAGGGGTACTAAGTACCCCTTAAACAGTGTTTTGTTTTGTTTCATTTCACTTTTAATGAATTGGTATGTTAGGAAATATGATCTTGGATTTCAATTGTTTTAAAAAACTAAAAGGTTTGCGGGCGCCTGGGTGGCTCAGTTGGTTAAGTGACTGCCTTCGGCTCAGGTCATGATCCTGGAGTCCCGGGCTCGAGTCCCGCATCGGGCTCCCTGCTCGGCAGGGAGTCTGCTTCTCCCTCTGACCCTCCCCTGTCTCATGCTCTCTCTCTCTATCTCATTCTCTCTCTCAAATAAATAAATAAAATCTTTAAAAAAAAAAAAACTAAACTAAGGTTTGTTTCTAATTTGAACTAGTTCAATTTTTTTTTTTTTAAAGATTTTATTTATTTATTTGACAGAGAGAGATACAGCGAGAGAGGGAACACAAGCAGGGGGAGTGGGAGAGGGAGAAGCAGGCTTCCCGCGGAGCAGGGAGCCCGATGCGGGGCTCAATCCCAGGACCCTGGGATCATGACCCGAGCTGAAGGCAGAAGCTTAACGACTGAGCCACCCAGGCGCCCCTAGTTCATTTTTTTTTTTTAAACAAATCTCTTTCATTTGGCTCACACTTGAGGGAAAGGGTATAAGGGTATCTGGGATTTAATTAATTAATTAATTTATTTTTGAAGATTTTATTATTTGTCAGAGAGAGAGCACAAGCAGGGGGAGCGGCAGGCAGAGGGAGAAGCAGGCTCCACACAGAGCAAGGAGCCCCATGCGGGACTTGATCCCAGAACCTGGGATCATAACCTGAGCTGAAGACAGACACTTAACTGCCACCCAGGCGTCCCTTGGATTTTTTTTTTTTTTTTTTTTTTTTTTTTTTTTAAGATTTTATTTATTTATTTTTTGAGAGAGAGAGAATGAGAGACAGAGAGCAGGAGAGGGAGGAGGGTCAGAGGGAGAAGCAGACTCCCTGCTGAGCAGGGAGCCCGATGCGGGACTCGATCCCGGGACTCCAGGATCATGACCTGAGCCGAAGGCAGTCGCTTAACCAACTGAGCCACCCAGGCGCCCCCGTCCCTTGGATTTAATTTAGTTCTGGAGTTCAACAAATTAGTCTGGTATAACCAGTTGATGGTTCATGGTTTGGTCTGGTTCAGGTTCAAGCATAAAACCCTAAAATACTGGAAAAGGTGAGTTGAATTAATTGGTTTCTCTGAGTGGAGCTAATGCATACTCTAATTATGGGGATGCATTCCTACAATGGTAGAAACTCAAGGTCATCCTAGTAATAAAACAAAGTTAGTGATTCTCACTTAATGGCTCATCAGCCACTGGATTTCCCAGTGTCTATAGTCCAGCTTCCTAAATAAAATTGTGACAAACTGTATACTCATGTTTTCTTTCTTTCTTTTTTTTTTTTTTAAGATTTTATTTATTTATTTGACAGAGCTAGAGACAATGAGAGAGGGAACACAAGCAGGGGGAGCGGGAGAGGGAGAAGCAGGTTCCCCTCTGAGCAGGGAGCCTGATGAGGGGCTCAATCCCAGGACCCTGGGATCATGACCTGAGCCAAAGGCAGACGCTTAACTGACTGAGCCACCTAGGAACCCCTATACTCATGTTTTCTAAGTACTATTATGCCTCTCTTCTTTTTTTTTCTAAAGAATTCTCTTTTCAATTAGATCAGTATTTCTCAAAGTATAGGCCCCAGACCATCACCTGGAATTTGCTAGATGTGCAAATATTTGATCCCCATCCCAGATCTACTACATTGGAAAATGTGGGGGTGGGCCCAGCAATCTGTGTCTTAACCAGCCCTCCAGGTGATTCTAATGCCCAATAAAGTTTGAGCACCACTGAATTAGATTATATATTTCTTGAAGTCAAATTCTATCTAATATTTCTATGTTGGAATTGGACTCTGCCCAAAGATCATGTTGATATTATTAGCTTCATGTGTGTGACAAGATAGCAGGGGCAACTGATGAAGTGTCCAGAGGCATAAGTGACAGAGTCAGTGTTTGATCTGGGGCAATCTAACTCCAGAGCTTAGCTTACCGACCACAACACTAGAATGCCTCCCTAATGGTCACACAGAGGCAAGATATGAAGCAATATGACACTCTGAGCAAAATCTGAGAAATAATATTCCTGTAAACTTTTTAACCCTCCAACATCCTTAATATGAGAATGCAATACACATTTAGAATAATATATATTTGGGGCGCTTGGGTGGCTTAGTCGTTAAGCGTCTGCCTTGGGCTCAGGTCATGGTCCTAGGGTCCGGGGATCAAGCCCCGCATCAGGCTCCCTGCTCAGCGGGAAGCCTGCTTCTCCCTCTCCCACTCGCCCTGCCTTTGTTCCCTCTCTCGCTGTTGCTGTCTCTCTCTCTCTCTCTCTGTCAAAATAAATAAATTAAAAAAATCTTTAAAAAAAAGAATAATATATATTTGCTTCATTATTTTTATCCAGTAGAAAAAATCAAGATGGAATTTTGTTAATATACATCTAAATTTTCAAGCACAAGTCTCTGGTTATCCTGTAACTTGATAAGTTTTTACATTTTTGCTCTTGAAAGCCAGTTTCTTTGCTTAATGAAAACCAGGCAGAGCTGTATACACCAAGCACAGCTACAGTCTGTGATAAAGCCATGGACACTTAGTTCTAAGCATTCCAAATGTGTTTAATTGTATCTTCTGGCTTTCATATTTTTCTTTCTCTAGGACAATCGGTCTGTTTTAATTATACATGTTTTTGTTTTTGTTTTTCCCCTGGAGTCAGATCTCATAGCTTCCTGAGAAAAGCACAAAATGGACAGGAAAAGCATGGATAGGAGTAGGTGGGGTTGATTTCTAATCTAGGGATTCCCTTAGTCGGAAATGAATGATGTTTCACTACACAGGCACATCTTCAATCTCACAATGAATAATGTATAATGGTTTAGAGAAAGATATAATAAAAGATCCCTATGTTCCAAAGCCAGTAATTTAGGCGTTATGCTAGTTCCTCCCTCTCTCGCCCCCAAACACAATCTGTCACAAAGCCCTCCCGGTTCTAGCTGCCAAACCATTCGCAAACCTGCCTTTTCTTTTTCAGTCTCATTACAACTGCCTTAATTCAGGACCTACACTCTTTGCTGGTCTTCCTCTCTCCTGCTCACCTTTGCCTTTTTGTCACGACAGCGACACTTTTCTTAATGTCATGTTGTTTCCCTATTTTCAGTGTCACCAACAACCCCTCCAACACCCACTTGATTAAGTCATTAACAGGAATGCCTTCTACCTCTTCCTGTTGCCTGGACAATATTCCAGCAATGTGCTGTACAAACCAATCTGTTTCATACTTTCCAGGCTTTGCTTCCCAGCCATTTCCTCTACCTAGAATTCCCTTTCTCCTCCTCAGCCAAGACAGCAATACATGGCATTTCTTTCAAAACATAGCTCAGAGGGAGCTGTCTTAGCCCCAAGATCAGGGACTTCTCTGTCCCTTGCCATCACTATGCCTTGTACATGATCTCACAATTCATCACTGATTATTTTAGTTATTTATTTGTGTGCCTTGTTCAGTTAGGATTTCCAGACATTGTACATAACGCCTAACATGGAATAGGACACATAACTTAAGGATTGATTGCATTCCTCAATATTGTATAACAGTCTTTAGCTATGTTAAATGATATTGGGCATGCACACAACTTGAAAAGTTTTTAACTCTCATGCAAATGTTTTCAAAAGCCAGATGCTTGGAACTGAAACAGTGTTATTGCCTCTGTCACCTATAGCATTTGCTCATTCTTTGTCTTCAGTCATGAAGTGCAAAAAATTATTTCACCTGGGGCGCCTGGGTGGCTCAGTCGGTTAAGCGTCTGCCTTCGGCTCGGGTCGTGATCCCGGGGTCGTGGGATTGAGTCCCGCATCGGGCTCCCTGCTGGGCGGGAGCCTGCTTCTCTCCCTCTGCCTCTGCCTCTCTCTCTCTCTGACTTTCATGAATAAATTAAAAAAAAATTAAAAAAAAAAATTTCACCTACCACAAAAATCTTCTTCCTGTTGTTGGAGTTATAGTAGTATGGCATAAAGTAATCATAGAGAAAATTTAGCTGGTCAACCTATTTGCCTTATTCTGCTCTAATCACGTGTTTTAGGTTTTAGTCCAGATATGTCGAGGTGTGTCCAAGAATTTGACCTTGAAAATGAACTTGAACTGACTCAATTATTAGGTGTAGCTATTAACCTCAACAGTCATAAAAGTTTGAGATATAAAACAAAATGCAAACGTATTAATTAACAATAAAAGATACAGACATGTTTAGAGACCTTGCTATTCATATCCACTCCTGTCTTAAATAGGAGGTAAAATTAGAAATCAGAGGGCCACTTGTTGAATGTGGACTCATAACAAAGGGACACTGGCCAGTCTTATGAGACATTTCTTCCAGACCAAAAAAAAAAAAAGCCAGATGAAATATTCCTGACTTCACTGTAACAGAGTCCACTTACTCTCCAGGACCTGGACACACTGCATCTGGTAGGGTAAATGACTTTCTCCTGACCAGTGCAGGAGAAACACTACCAACTCTTCTGTTTGGGGAGATGAGTTTGGTTTTTCCCACTGCCTAGATTCTTGCAGTCTGCTAACAATTTTGACTTGTTTTGTTTTGTTTAAGACAGGGCAGAATAAATAGGTGACCTCAGAACTCCCCCCTTGACAGTTTGCTACTCAGCCTTTTGTCTTGGCCTGGCCTTGTTCTCCTAGTTATGATTTTTACTTCCTCTCAATCACCTTACATGTAGATGGGGGAATAAGGCAATCACTCTGGTAAGACTTGGATGGTCGCAGTTTTCTCAGGCATTCAGTTACAACCGGTTTCTTCTATAGAAGACAGGTCTTATCTTCCATATTTTTATACTTTCCGATTTTTGATCCTAGGCAATAGCATTCTGGAAGTACCTCACAGTAGTTCCCTAGATAGTGACTAGACTCCACACATGATGGTTTTGACAACTACAGTCCCAAGATAATGTTTTGAAAAGGAAGAGGCAAAATTAAACACAAAGAGCTGAATCTTTCTCACACTGACCCTCCAAAACATTTCTCTTTCTGCCTCAACTCAAAAGCAGATGGGAGGTGACCTTCATAAAGTTATATTGGGTAGAAGAATTACTCACTGCCAGAGGCTAGTAGAGAGGCTCTCTGTTCACATCATCTCCCCTGTGGTTTCCCGCAGTCACAGAGGCTCAGAAGAGAGTGTGTGTACAGGTATTCTCTGCGTAGCCCAGGAGTTGACTTCATTTTTTTTTTTTAATTCTACTCTTGGGATGACCGACTTCTTGTCCAAGGTTGGCCACAATTATTCATGGCCTTGAAGGGCATAACTTGTGCATTATCTGCATTATGTTTCACACCTGTATAAGAGAGATAAAAAAAATACTTGGTTTTGATCTACTATATAGATACAAAGCAATGTCAGCTTCTCAGAAAAAAGAAATTATTCAATGTATTTTTTTTAAAGATTTTATTTATTTATTTGCCAGAGAGAGAGAGAGCACAAGCAGGGAGACCTGTAGGCAGAGCAGGCAGAGGGAGAAGCAGGCTCCCCACTGAGCAAGGAGCCCGATGCGGGACTTGATCCCAGTACCCTGGGATCATGACCTGAGCCGAAGACAGATGCTTAACTGACTGAGACATCCAGGCGTCCCTTCAATGTATTTTTTTTAAAGGTTTTAATCCTAGTTGCTCTATTTTGGGCACTTTTCTGAAATGTGATTCCAATTATTTATATAATACAAAAAAAAAAACCCTAAGCTTCTTTCAGTATATGACTCACAACTCACTACCCACACACAACTTTTAAAATTATCTTTACACAATATTAGCATATTTTGGTGCTTAACTATACTATAGCTGGCCACTTAGAAATCTGAACACTCTCCGTTGTTCCTGTGAGGAGCATTTGTTTTGGGGACCCTTTTCAATAGATTCATTCACCCTCCCACCAACGTAGATTCTTGATTCTTCCCCCTCCTCATCATAAAATACTTAGAAAGGTTGCTTATACGTCTGTATAAGCATAGGAATGATATAAAGAACACTAGAGAAAAGGGGCCTTAAAGAAGTTCATGAATTTTACAGAGTACATTGACATGTAACACATGAATAGCAAAATAAAGAGAGTAAGTCACTATAAAAAAATTAGTAGATTGGATTGAGATTGTATGTTTTAGGGATAAGCGTATTTAGGGTTCATAAGAAGAGATGAGGCAGCTAGGACTGACTTCCCTGTGTGAAATGGGTGGCAGTATAAACCAGGTAAAGGGATGGGTGTTGCAGCCAGATAGGCCTGGGCTCACAGTCCGGCTCTCCCACCAACATGCCACATGACTAGAGGGCTGACCACATCCTTTGGACTGTTGGCATTTAACCAATCTAAGCCTCCATTTCCTCCTCTGTAGAATGGGGTTACTAATACCTTCTTCTTTGTTGATTAAATGATATAAAGCACAGAGAAGTACCAGGCACAGTACCTGGACTTAGCGAGAGCTCAACAAATAGCTGTGTTTTAAAATACAATGCTTTCTATTTATTCAAAGAGTTTTCAGATAAATCATCTCACTTGATCTGGACATCAATTTGGTAGAGAAGATGACCAGGTATTACATATCCCTTACAACCCCCTATACACACACATTCATCTTCCAGTTGGATGAGGAAACAGACACACAAAATGGAAATGACTTGCTTAGGCTTAGTAACTGCATCAGCACAAAAACTGGTCTAGAACTCTTTTCTACCCTGTCTCACCAAATAGGAGGCAATCTATCTCAGTTCCAGACAGAGTGGCACCATATATGCAATTACTGTTCTCTGACCAGCCTAGGAAAACTTTATAGAAAACATGAAAAATTTCAAGAACTATTTGAGTGGAGAGGAAAAGGTGACTCTTAGATGAGTGAAGGTTTGGTGCTTAGCCCTGCTTGGGGGAAAAGCTCACCAGGGGTATATTCTAAGGGGATGGATCCTCAATATATGGCTGACAATAGTAGAGTTATATCAATTTCTTCTGCAAGTAGGACATTACCCACTCAGAACTGTAGTAAAGACTTACTCGGTTAAAATGCATGAAGGAATTTATACGTGGAGCTCTTACAGAGCTGAGATTCTGGAAGTAAAGAAAGTGGAAAAATTATGGAGCTCCATTCTTTTTCCCTTTAATATATGCTATCCCAGATTCTGTAATAATTCTTTTATTAGATTACCTGAATTTATGTTAGGGATTCACTCAAGTTAATAAGCATCCATTTTTAAGGAACACATAGTTCTGAAGTTTACTTATTGACCAGCCATTTATAGATTATTATGTTGTTTAGGGGCGCCTGGGTGGCTCAGTCGTTAAACGTCTGCCTTTGGTTCAGGTCATGATCCCAGGGTCCTGGGATCGAGCCCTGCATCGGGCTCCCTGCACAGCAGGAAGCCTGCTTCTCCCTCTCCCACTCCCCCTGCTTGTGTTCCCTCTCTCACCGTGTCTCTCTGTCAAATAAAAATAAATAAATAAATAAATAAATAAATCTTTTTTAAAAAGTCCTAGACTAATATGTTGTTTAGTCAGATTGCTTTCCTAACTTTTAAATGACACTGAGGAAAAACTAGAATCATTTTGGCAAGGAGAGGAGGCAGATAATTAGAGGGTAAAGAGCAATTTGGGGTGTATACAAAATTGGGTTTAATTAACTAGTAGCTGCCCAGGTAATCTAAAAGCCCAGGACTTTTAGGGCTGAGAGCTGCACAGAAGGAGACAGTAGAATCTCAAAATTATTGTATGGCAAAATAATTTTCCAGAGTTATGCCTATATCTAGAGAAAGCATGGAAATATTTTTATTCTTTATATTCCTCTTGTATAAGGGGGCCCTTATGCTTCCTGTAACCTTAAGGTATGGTACCACTCACTAATATCTGACCATATAATACTGACTACATATAATAAACAGATATTTTTGGGCTGGCCTGGGAAGTTATATTATTTCTATGGGAAAATTATTCCCAAGTTTTAAGTAAGCAGCCTACAAATGACATTTTTTAAACCTAGGAAGTGTCTGTTTATATTATACACATTGATATAGAATACTAATATTTTTAAATAAGAAAGAGGCAATTGTAACAGCCTTTATTCCTTAGCTCTCTCTGAATTGAGTACACGTCTTGATTTTCTACTGTTATTGACCAGTGTGTTTACAAATGTAATGAAACAGTAGTAGAAACTGATATGTTTTACATATTTTTAAGGATAGCTCCAATTGGGACACCTAGGTGGCTCAGTCGGTTAAGCGTCTGCCTTGGGCTCAGGCCATGACCCCAGGGTTCTAGGATCGAGTCCCACGTAGGGCCCTGTACTCAGCAGGGAGCCTGCTCCTCCCTCTGCCTGCAGCAACCCCTGCTTGTGTGCTCTCTCTGACAAATAAACAAATAAAATCTTAAAGAAAGAAAAAAAAGGACAGTTACAGTTGTTTAATTGCGCCAAATTGGTTTAGAGGAATTGTTCAAAGTAAGAAGACCATCCTTTGAAAATATTTAATGTTTCACAAAATAGACTGCTGAATAAAGTCATATATTTTAAAAAATATAGACAACAGTACCTATTGTAATCCGTGCTGGTCATCAAACTATCATAAAGATATATGATTTCTTTTTCTAAATACTCCATTTTTCTGTATTTGCAAACCTGAGTGAAAATCCCCAAATATGCATGGCACCAAATTCAGTACAGAAATTTTCAGAGCAAATGACATTTATTTGGCATTACTCTTATCCTTGCTGACCTCCTTCATTTTTCACTGAATTTAAATCAAAGTTACAAAATTTATGAGTTGATCTGAGCCAGCTTCTAAAGTATCACATTAACACTGAAGGCATTTAAATACAAGGATTTAGACCAATACATCATCACTCAGTACATTTCAGGCCTCTCCCTGTTCATTTTAGTCCAGGTTACCATTATCTCTTACCTGGCATTTTGCCTCTGAAATTGGTTTCTTTGCTTTCCCTGTGCCATCTGCAATCAAGCCCCAAGACAGTGGCCAAAGCGATATTTTTAAATAAATTAGATCATGTCACTTTCCAGCTTAAATTTCTCCTGGTGCTGCCCATTGCAAAAAAATAAAATAAAATAAAATAATAAAATTCAAACTTCCTCCCATAGCCTATCAGGATCTACACGACTTAGTTTACCTTTTTTTCCTGGTCCTTCTTCCACTCATTTCTATATTCCAACCCCACTGGTTTCTCTGTGTTTCTCAAGGAAATCTAGTCTGTCCTCTACCCAGGTCTTTGGCACTGTAACTTCCATCAGGAATGTCTTGGCTCTTGGATTTCACAAATTTGGATTCTTTTCTCTCTTTAGATCTTAGCCATTCCCTGCTTGTCTCTGTAATGTTGCCCCAAACCACCCAGTTCCTCTTTAGAATATGATCCTGTCTTATTTTCTTCATAGTTCCTGCTACTAGCTACGACTATTTTGTTTATAGCTCTTTCTCTGTTTGTCTTTCCTCCCCGCTAGAATTTAAGCTCTATGAGAACCAGGATCTTGCCTGGTTCTTAGACACTCTCACTGAGAACTGTTCCTGGTGCATATAGTTGTTACTTAATAGTAGTTGAACTCATGGTATTTTAAACTCTTATAAACTATATTTTACAACAGAAGGAGATCTTAAATATTGCAAAGTACCATCTTTTCATGTTATGGATAATAAATTAGAGCAGAGAGAGAGGAAAAGACATATCTGGTAAGTTATAAGACCAGTATTAGAATCCAGTTCTCCTGACTCCACAGCTGCACGCGGCCTCTCCATTATAGCTAGTTGCCCTGCATTTTCCTAGTTGCCTAATTCTTGAGCTAGCTTGATCATATTTCTTCCTCTTCCTTTCTTATACAATTTTTTCTAAGCTATTGTTTTATCTATTCATCACTGTTAACATAATTCATTTCTTCCTGAGGCTTACTAGCTTTATTATTAACTCCATGAAGTGCTTTGTGATGTTAGTTATGAGAAATATCTTATGAAAATAAACCATAATGTGAAAAAAGCCAGTCTATAGCAGTACTGCACATAGTGCGTGTAACAAAGGCTCAGTTGTGTTGTTGCAGGGAAGAGTCAATAATTAGTAACACATTTCTAAAGGTCTCTCTTGCATAATTTTTGTGTCCAGATGTCTATGACATTTGGGTTCTAAAATAGAGTTCCAAATACCACACATTCATGCACATTTTCCAAGAATAATTGGATGATTTTTTAATCTTTCTATTTAATAAACATCAGGACTAAAGATGGGCTACTTCACAATATCAAATTTATTCATTTTAAACATCCGTTTTGATGTGGAAAGTGTTTGGAATAAACACAATTAAGAGTG